GTACAATGATGTAGGTGTATTCTACATTGCACAAAATAGAGTAACTGCTAAATGACTTTAACATTCGTAGAAACCACTTCCCTAAACGGCGTTAAAAGTAGGCAATTCAACTAGATTGGTGTGGTTTTAATTTTTCAGTTTATCTAAACATTTTTAGCAGCGTGCAACTTTTTTAAAATACAGATATTAAAATCGAATCATTAGTTATCCAGTGTGGTTAATAATGTGTATTTTTGCTGAGTTGTAAGCCGATTAGACATGACACACCATGAACAACTAGAAGGAAGTTGAGTGATGCTCATGCAAGTCGACTTCAATTGGCAATCAGAATGTGATGATTACAATTATGGTAAATCCAGTAATCATTGCACTGCAGCGCATATAAGGCGCTAGTTTCTTACAGCCTTTTGATGGCAGTTAACGGTATTCAAGTCTATTTCAAACGACTCAATACTTTTAAGATTGCCACTTGAAAAGTCATTTGCTCCGTATATCATGATTTATTGCCTCAAGTGTCCACAAGACGCGCCCACCGTTTCTGCATTTCTAACAGTAACAACCATAAGAAGACAGTTACAGATTGATAAGACATATTTATGTAGCGTATTAAAGAACGAGCCAAAAGTGAAAGCTTTTTTCCTAACGAATGCGTAAGTAAGATGACTTGCATTGAAATATAATCTCCCATACTTTATTAATATCTGAACATATTATATAGGTAACTTTAGCCAGGCTTATTAAAATGTACCGTGTTGACATAAAATTTTAAATGTTCAAAAAATATTGATAAGTGTTTAGCATTACATGAAAATTATGAAATATCTTCAATAAGGAGCCCCTCTAGAGGGGACATGGATACAGTGACGTGGATGCCACGGCCCGGTCGGGCGAAGGAGTACACCGCGGGCTTCATTGGTTAGCCTAAATATAAGACCGGGTGTCCCATAGGAAGCTGTTCCTGCTGCACGCAGCACGGAAGCGAAGTGCGTAAATGCAATCCCCGCGTGGAAATAAAACCGTCTTCAATAACTTTACGAACAATGTCAGACAAAGGTCATATATAAAGGACCCTTTATACATCCGTTATCTTGAAGTATTTATTGCAGCGGAACCGGAATAATCGATCATATTACAATGATCAATTACAATACTCCCCTTATTAATATTGTATAACAAAGTTTATTGTTTTTGTATACTTAAAAATGTATTCGTGAACCGTGACAAAACAACACTGGTTTTACTTCCTCTTGAAAAGCGTCGCGTGGAACATCCACATCCGTTTTATGAGTCATCTAAATACAACGTAGCATATTTGCAAAATCAACTTTAATACAATATTTTTAAAAACGAAATTCCAATGCTTGCCATAGTCATTATATTTGCTCGTAACATCCGTTTTTATGTTTACATAGCTGTCTGAATTAACTAATGACCCCGCATTGTGAAGGCCTTGCTTTATAATTTACTAATATTATATCTTAATTATACTGTAACAGGAGAATTGGAAGTTTCAGTGTTATTAATCACTAGCTGTTGTTTGTGATTTCGTCCGCGTGAAATGAAAAATAAAAAGTATAGCCTATGTCACTCATAACATAGTTTTTTAGAGTAAAAGATTTTTGAAATCGGCCCAGAAGTTTTCGAGTTATTTTAATAAATAATTAAAAAAATACAATTCTTTCCTTTTTTAATACTGTACATATAAAAAAACAGATTTTGTTTATTCTTGTAGTGTGACGCGTAATAACTTAATGTGACTTTTCTTGTAAATCTGGTCGCTACTAGCCGATGTTTTAGGCTAGATATAAGGAGCAGCTTAACTACGTTCCCCCCTCGGCGACCCCCTTAAATGCATATTGTTGCCAAAAGTCTACAAACAAAATTATAGTTTTTATTGAAACCATGACTTTTTTTTATTATTTTTACCTTAATCTGTGACTCAAAGTCTATACTGAAATATTGATTTCATAATTAAATAACAAATCATGCATTTAAGGGTTAACATTCATATATCAATGTTTCTATGCCGAAACAGATGCACAGAAATATGTGGTCTTGTTTATAAATTAAAATCTTCACTGCAGTGGTCCTGTAAAAATTAAAAGTCATTATTTCAACTTGTAAGATATAATGTATTGTTGTTTTATTACGCCTTATATGCGATACCTAATCTAAACGTATTAAGTGGTATCTTGTTACTATTACCAAAGTTACATTGCAGACACCTTTCACTTTCTTCTTTATTGGTAGATTGGTACGATTTACTCGGCATAGAGAGTAATGTCAAGACAAGAGTAAAAAGTTAATTAAAACTGTCTAGACCAGTGATTCTCAACCTTTTTGTTTAACGATTTCAAAATTTGGCGGCACACAAAGAAAAAGATAAAAATTATTCCCTTACTACAACACACTGCATGAATAGTTTATGACAAAAATATGCAAAATTTGGCGGCACACAAAAGTGCCACGACACTGTGGTTGAGAATCACTGGTCTAGAGGAAAGTTCAGTCTTGTGTTTATATAACTTTTTTGGTATCGAATTATTAAATTGTATCTTAACTTTAATCTCATCTTATGTTAAATGTATAAAATTAATTATAAGATTAAAATAAATAACATGTCAATCTACAAAAAGTAGTGAATATTGACCCATAAACTTTTTTGGAAGACGTTGTACGAGGTACTGATTTGAAAAGAAGCCTTCAGTAAGGTCAATGAAAATCTTGTTTTCCGCATATTCAATGTTTCTTTCGTTAGTTTAATTAAGTATATAACGTGTGATTTTAACTACTATGTATTACTTTAAGGTCATATTTTTTTTGTATTTATTATTTACGCTTAATACATAAAATTAATAAGCCAATTTAGGTACGAAAAAGTCAAAGGACAAACAAGGTCATTCAGATGACCTCGATTATAATTTGGCACCGGGTCAAGTCAAGCCCATTGGCATAAATTGCTATCCGTTAGGTCGGCGGAATTAAAATATTTATGACACCGTTCTAACACTTCCTTCGACTCAGTTAAAATTGAAAGTTGATTTTAAAAAACCAAAAGTATTACAAAAATATTAATTAAGACTTGTTTTAAAGTTGCTGTAAGCATGAAGATGAAGTGGTTATAAGATTTTTGCAAACAAAAAATAACATAACCGAAATGTCCCAATACACGCGAAAACAGTCAATCCATTTGACAAAAGCTTAGAAAATATGTGTAAGATATTACTAAAATTAAGTATCGGCTATCAGGCAGCTGCTATCAGTTTTAAATAGACTAGGAGACAGGAGACACCGACGTGTCTATATCTAAAACCTGATCTACGCTATTAAATGAATATGGATGATATCCCGCGAGAAACTTGTAAAATAGGAAACATAAATTTAAATAGGGTTGCGACTACATTTTTAATTATAAATTGGGAAAAAAACTTAAGATAACCTTTTTTTCTTCAATTATTATTTTGAATAAATTAAGATTTATAGAATAAAATAAGTGAAATTTAAAGCCGTTTCATTTATGTAAAGTGTATTTGGTTAGTGTCAATGAGAGGGAGTGGACACTTATTGAAGCTTATGTAAATAGCCCAACGACTTTGTTTTGCAACGCTTTCTATTTGGTTACTTAATTTAAACTTGTCATCTGCAGACATAAATTGTATTTTTTATTACGCGGGTATCTTTTATCTGTCGGAGCTAAATCCGGTGATCGCTGGGTAATTTGTCATGAGCCATCCGGTTAGATATTAATCGAGGACTTTTTTATTTTTTATAGATTTGTTAGTATTGATAGCGCAATGAGTAAATATTACTGTCTAATGATTACACGATAAGGGTTTTTAATTCTGGTATATGAAATAAAAATTTCCACTTCGAGTGGAGTAAACTAATTTAAAATATTAAATGTAGTTTTAGGCGAAGTATAAGTGATCACACCCCTAGTAGTGTTTGCAATGTATCTATTTATTGTGCTACTTAGATAATTTGCTCATTACGGTGCAGCAGTGGGCTGTGGGCAGTGGGGCTGGCTGCAGGGGAGAGCGCGCCCGGCGGCCGGTAGCGCGATCTGTCAATCTAAACTATGTGCTAGTTTTCACTAATTTAATTACGGACATTAATACTTTCTTAAAAACAGATAAACAGAGATTTTAACGTACAGATATAGGAAAAAAAACCTGTAAATATAGCTTCTTGTACGTTGTTAACAGGCAAAAGACTTTAAAGAACTCTATCATTTACCGTCCTTTTAATTTTTGCAACACTGTTGTGCAGATGTTTAATTCAATAATATTTCTTTTTGAGAAATATAAAAAGAACGAAAATGAAATGTTTATAGTACAAGCAGAGTTATCACCAATCGTGCAGTTTGTTCCTACTTCCTATCCACGGCTTTCTATTTCTACTTCCGTAAAAATTAAACTTTCTTTCGATCCTTTCGTTTTTTAATATCATGTTAATTGAAATGCACCATTAAAGCTCCGTAATTGGCAAACTGCATATCATACGTGCTTATTACCAGAGTGTAGCCAATACAATTTAAATCTATGTAATTTCTTTAGGTCAATAGAGCGAGCGGGTCGCTGGATCGTCGGCGCATTCGAGCGTCTCGACAGACTGAGGAAGTCAATTACACAAATCGCTTTAGAAAACGAAGTGTTGGAGCGTGAAAATGGAAGTGTTTACTCCTAGTACACATTGGGCATATCGTTGCTATTCCTATAGTGCTTTCGTGGTGTATTTTAAACCATCACATTTGTATGTTTATATCAGATTAACTCGTACACTTTCTGTCCACAAAAAAGCGACTCCTTCAGCTGCTGCACGACCTTATCGTAGGGTTCATGTCTACCATAGGTAAGGATTGATTAGGCTTTAAGCAACCCTGGCCTACTGCTGATTGATTGACTTCGTACACATATTTGAATCTCTTTTCAGATATACCCGATGTACGGTGTAGGAATTAGTGTGTACTATTAGTTTAAAATGTAAATCGTGTTGTACAGAGGTGCTGCATTTGATCGGTGAGCCGGATTTCCGCGACGTCCGGCTGCGCTGGGAGTACGGCAGCGAGGAGGGACAGCCGCTGCTCGCCTTCCAAGTGCACTACTGCGAGCTGCAGGCCTGGGGGCAGTACAGGTGTCGCACTAAAGTAAGTTGAAGGAAAAACATTTGATAATCGGTGTACTATGTCTGTTAAGCATTAGCTTTTTAAATTATTTACCTCTCATATTTATTTGTTTTGTCAAAGACATTTTTTTAATAAGTATCCTTCGACGGTCATCCAGTCCGCCTTACTCTAACGCCAGTACTGGTTATATGCTCATCTATGATGACTGTTATTTTTAATCGATATACGCGATAAGAAAGGCCGATACTTCTTGAATAGTAGTTTCAATGGCTTATAAGAAAGCCGTTTGCATATTAAATACATTAAAATATCTGAATTCGAATCAGTAGGGTCGGCCCGGTTTGTATCTGGCATAGAACGGGATATAATGGCGGTGTCGGCGGCAGGCGTGACCGTGACGCCACAGTCCGCCGCCGCCCTAATGCTCGTTATTACATTCAGGTCCTTTACCGCGCCGCTAAATAAGCGGTCAGGAGATTTATTGTTCGTTTAACGATTTGTCTTTAGTGTTTTTCTTAACATCAAATTTAATAAACTGTAATCATAGTGGAATGATAAGTACCTACGCGTGTTAAAATATCGAGGTGCTTTAAACAAAGCCAATAAATTAATTAACGTATCTATATACAAAAAGTTTTTTAATAGAATTTTATGATATTATCAAACGGGAACGACATAGGTCACTAATGATTTAATTTCCTCTTTTAAAAACAGAACCAGAATATCCGGTAAAAGAATGTTATTTTTCCTAGGTAGTAGAAAATCATGAAAACGAAAAAGCGGGTCGCAGTCGTGCTGGCGACATACCGACGACGACGCCGAGTGGACGACGCGGGCGTGCGTACAGCACGCACATTTCCGGTCTGCGCATGGCCACCACATACTCGTTCGAGGTCCGCCCCGTGAGGCGAGACGCACGTGACTTAACTGACCCCCAGTCTATTGGATCCAAGATCATCATTGTGCCTACTAAAGGATGTAAGTTCTAAAAAAACTACTGAAGGGATTGTTTATTAGATTTGCATTTAGTTGCGCATATGTGTGCTCCATGGTAACTAGCTACTACATTACAATGTAACTTTAACAGTTTCAGCGCGCGCTACGCAATGCCTGCCACACGCGAGCGAAGTAGAAGTATCGACTGGTCCGTACTTCGGCGGGCGTATAGCGGTAGAGGCGGCTGACGGCGGACCCGAGCGGTGCGCGCTGCAAGGCAACCCGCGCAGCGCGCAGGACGCCTACATCCTTAGGATACACCATCAGGAGTGCGGCTCAGAGGTCAACGACACGACTGTCGCTACCTACGTTATCGTGCAAGAGAATCTTCCCATACTAACGCATAGCACTCGTCGGTATGTATATAAACTACGGAAAGTCACTGTTAGACCCTCACTCTAGTTAGAGAATCAATAATCGAGAAGAGAATCGTCTAATTTTTTTTACCTGAGATACGCTATTTTAATATAATGACGTACTATTTATTTCGTTTCAGATTTCTAGTTTTGTGTACATATAAACCTGAAACTCTTACGGTCAGAGCTGGTATTAATTTACCTAAAGCCGACCCTGGAGATGTGCTGCATCAGACGAAGCCGATAGGCTCCGTGGAGCCATATGACAATCAGGATATGGACTACAATGATCTACAGCCGGCCAGGCTTGAAGCACGCAAAGAGGAAACTCAACAAAGTACGTTATCTACTAAAACATTGATGAAGATTTAATTCAAATAATAAATGATGCTCGTTATTATAATTTAAATACAACTACAATCAATTTCCTATATAAGCTAAATACCTTCGGGCGATAGTTGACATGATCCAATACTAAAAATGATTCTCCAGCAGTTCATGATATGGTTTAGAGATGACTGAAGGTGCCTTTGTGAATATTATCTATAAGAATTGAAATCAATTGTATATGTTGAACTATTTTATTGTTTGAACAATTTAAAGTTGTATTTTCAGGTGCGTTTGGCGAAGTGTTATTAGTGATGTTCCTGGTAGTCGCTGCGTTTGGCGGTATCGCGCTACTCATATGGAAGATGGTGCCACAAACGGACAAAGACAACGTATCTATCACAACAATGTCGTCGATGCGCAGTAGTATATTCGGAAGACGGAACAGGGACAGATTTTCAGATAGAAGTTCCGTGTACTCAATAACATTGTCAGAAAAAGAAGGAACGAAGAAAAGTAACGAAGGAGACAATACTTCGGAGGCGTAAAATTCTAAGGTTTATTTATTAGTTGCACGTGTTGTGTTGTATTATATTGTGATGTAATTATAATTAGGTCAAATTAGCTTACGAAGCTTCTGATAGATTTAATGTTGGCGCTAGGAACATTATACCTTTCGATGCTAAATCAACAGATGTTTAAGATCAAAGTAGAAAGAAGTTTTGGTGTTTAATTACAAATGTTTAGCTTCATTTGATTTACGTAAATATTATAAAGAATTTTTGTATGCTTTGACCCGATTAGTGGTCGATACGACCGTTTTGTATGTGTAAAGCGAAAAAATTGTATGTACAAAGAGTATTGGAAAGAAGATTGTATAGTGTTTTGGTCTCAAATTAATTTTAATCTTTTATTTTAGACAATTGGACACTTGCACTGTGCTATGATGGCCATACAAAGATAGCATATAATCGTGTATTTTAAATTATATTCTAGGATAAGAAAAAAATGAGTGAAGAAATAAAAAAAATTAAACATATAGTACATTTATTTGTAGATTATATCTTTCGGTTTAGTTAGTAACGAAAATGGTTTCTCCATATCAACATTAGGTAGTAAAAACTGATACACTATGTCATTGAGTTCTTCAAGGGCTATTTGTGCGTGGAGTTTGACTGCGTGGTCTTCATTAGGGTCTTTATATAGTTGATTTAGAGTCCTGTATAGAGGGAGTAAGTGTTCTTTCAGCTGGATTAATGTTTCCTTTCCTAGACCTTTGAGTAAACTTGATATAACCATAACAGCGGCCCTCCTGCATTCTATAGCTTTATCTGACTCTATTATGCTCCCAACGCATAACAAAACCTAGGACAAAAGTAAATTAAATAAAATTGGAGACATTATGATAATATCTAGAGATAGTTTTTATTTTTTAATACCTTACCTAATAGGAACTTTCAAGGCTTGTACAAAATTAGGATTTTCCCACTCTATTGCACACTTATTTATTTTTAAATAAATATTTGTTGTCTATGCTATTAGTTTATCTGGGATTATATCATACTAATGTTACAAATGCGAAAGTTTAGATGGATGGATGTTTGTTAGAGTTTGTAGCCTAATCAGCTGAATGGATTTCGATGAATTTTGGCATAGATGTAGAGTATAGTCTGGAAGAACACATAGGCTACTCAGTTTTTTTTAATTCTACTCGGACGGAGTCGCAGGCAAAAGCTAGTTTGAAACATAAAGTTTACACATTATTGTAAGTAAAAATTAGGAATAACTTACCTCATAAATTATAGATCCAATCCTATAATGCAGGACTAAAGCAATCTCAGCCAAATTTGATAATGCAGATGCTCTCAACAAAGGGTCATGGTCTCTGCACGCAGACAACATTGTATTCAATAGTATTGTTTTATGGACGATACTCATATCACCTGTAAATAATTTTTTTCAGTATTAAAATTATTTATACATTTTTTCTATGTAAATAAAATCGGTTTTTATATGTGTAGGTAAGTTTTAGGACATTAAAAGTTAGTGCTTTAAGCTGGGCCAGCCGTTGGATAAGGCTAGATGGGAGGGTCCAATTTTATGATCACATTTAAAGTAGTTGTTATGTCTATTTCACATTTTTGGGCTCCCTAGGAGGTCTGTGTCTACCCCGCCTGGTAACGCCCTGAAGGGCGACGACTAGCTGGTTTCAGCATTTTAGAGGTAAAAAATATAATAAACAAATTATAAAGTCTATTTGAAAAAACAATAACAATAAATAAGAAACAACTTACCCAGTCTTTTCATTACTTTCACAATGATATCACCTATTTTCAATCTCATCTCTTGCATTTTATTTTGTATTTCTTTAGTTTCAACACCTCCAAATGAAGTGGAGATGTTTAGGAATTCTTTGCATAGCACATTGAGTACATCTTCAGTGCAATGCATTGCTAATGAGGCAATACCGTTTATTGCAGCTAAGTAAATGTATGAATCTGAATCTTTTAATTGCTCCTGAAACATTCCAATTAAATCATTTATTAATTACTAGCTTTCGCCCGCGACTTCGTCCGCGTAGAATTAAAAAAAACCAAAAGCCTATGTGTTCTTCCAGACTATCCTCCACATCTATACCAAATTTCTTTGAAATCCGTTCGGCCGTTTAGGCTACAAACTCTAACAAACATCCATCTTAACTTTCGCGTTTATAATATTAGTAAGATTACCTGAAATAAACAGAAAACTAAATGACGTTTGGATATTGTTTCAGCATCTTGTTTATCGATTAGTTTTGTTAGTTCTATAATACCGTGGGCTCTAGTAGGTAACAATTTATCAAAAGCATTTGACACAGCTTTTTCATAAGCTGAATTATTCTTAACCTTATCACCATTAATTAATAATATTGCTTCCTTACATAAAATACTATTAGTATTTGATTCATTTTGGGCCATTTTCTCTAATATCGGAATTATGTTTTTTAATCTACTGGTTAAACTAAAATCATCAATGTTTGGCAAAATCGTGTTTAACAGAACCAAAGCAATAGATTCACATTCACTGTTCTTTTTATTTTCTTGAAGAAAATACTCTATAAAATTGAAAACAGTTTGAGGAGATTTTTTCAAACATTCATTTATTTTTGCTGAATCTGATATCACAGATAATAATTGAAGAATATTAATATATTGTTTATCTAAATCATTGAGTAACACTGGTTCATCTTCAGGTGCTAAAAGAGGTTCTGTTATAAATTTATTTCTTTGCAAACTTAAATCAATTAGTATTTGTAAAGCTGTTTCTAATATAGCTTGATTAAAACTGTGATCGGTTATCTGTTTGAATAATTCTATGAAATAGAAAAGTGCATCATCTGAAGGATAAGTATTATTTACTGCTTTCAAAATTAAACCTGCTGGGATTTCTTCAACTATGACTTTAGATATAGTTGTGTTGCCAAATAAAAGTAATTTCAGTAAACCAGGTATTTCGTCTTTATCCATTTTCTCCATACATTTAATTAAAATCTCATTTAATTTCTTTTTCATTTCTCTGTTTGTACATTTCATACTAATCAGGAATAATAACGGCAAATTTGGAGTTAAGAGTTTTGTAACAATTTCTTGATTTGGCAAACTTAAAGAAGAATGATAAGTTTGCATTTTATGTTCTATTTGTTGTGTTGTTAATATTATTGTTCCTGGTAAATATGATTCAATTATATTTTCACATTTAAATGTATGAAACACATCTTTTACTAAAGTAGTAACTGCTGCTGAGTCCGGATACTTCTGCATCAATGTTATTAAACAGGCTGTTGCAGTTGTTAAATATTTAGTATTATTTAATACAAGAATCTGTTTCAATTGGTTGCAAATATTTTGCAGATATTCATCATCACAAGTATCTCCATGTTTTGTTGCAATCAATTTGCAAATTATGTCAATTTTTTTCCATTCTATCCCAGAATCCATTTCTAAACTGTCCATAAAACATCTGATCAGACTTAGCAATCCTCCAGGTGCTATAAGCCGTCGACTCAACTCTTTTGTTATTGTCCTCTTAACAAATGCAGGAGGTGTCTTGTCTATTACATTTTGTAACACTAAAAGTTCCTTCATAAGTATAGGTTGGAAGCAATTGTTCACTAAATCATCATATATATTGATATATTTCTTTCTATCTATATTCAATTTATCATACAATTCTTTTGTCATTGTAAAATTAGTGTAAACTCCAGGTTTTTTTAATGGTGCAAAGGAAAGTTGTATTAATGCAGCCAAGTAGTCTGATAAATGGAAACTGATTATTATACTCTTTAAAACAGGTACAGTATAACTTCTTGCAAAGAAATCTGTACAATCTGTTAGTAATTCATACTTTTGCTCATCTGACAAGCCAGTAGTAGGTAACATGGCTGTAAATGCTGATCTTTTAGACAAACTGATACCCAAACCGGGCACCAAACATGGTGATATACCAAGCGAAACAATCAGCTGGAAGCATGTTCTCAATAGCTTTTGATTCTTCACACTAATAAGCACAGTATCATCGTTTTTAATGTACGCCGCTAAATCATCTATTTCCTTAAATATTTTGTGAAGAAAAGTTCTTTGAGAGATAAAAATAGCATCATTATCTTTACTACTTGTATCGTCACTTTGCAATAACCATGGTATGAACTCAGGATCATCTGAAAATAAGCTTTTGTTACAAAATAATATAAAAGTTAAAAACTAATATAAACAGCTATTGACTCACTGGTTTTGGTAATATTTTCGATTCTTTCAAATATCACATTGATTTCCTCCATATTCATTGGTTATATTAAAATTTTTAATTTCGTAATTAGTTATTTTTTCAAATAAAAAAGTAACCAAACATTTCCGTATTATAATGTTTGACAGCTTATTGACATTGACAGTGACAAAGGGACAAGATCAAAGAACAAAGATAGATAGACTATTGAAGCTATCGATACCAATTAAAATAGTTTTTGGCGTTATAGTGCCTAAAGAAAACTTTAAAATCGTAAGAAACGTGATGCATTTAAAAATGTCACCATAATATAAACGGTTGTTTTGGGATGATTTTTATAATTTCAACTCGGTGACTATATCCAGTGACTCTAAAGCGGTAAAAACAAAAAATGTTGTCTGTGAAATACTAAAAAAAAAGTCAATTAATGACAGTGACAGTTTAGATTCGGATACTTGCCGATTTTAGAATTTACTTAAAGTAAAGCTTGATTTTAATTAGAACTGTTATATTACTAAGTTTTCATCATGCTTATCAAGGTCAAGGTATGTTTGTTGTTTAATATTTTTCATTGCATTTGATTTCTTGGTACATAACCTATTTTTGTTGTAGACACTCACTGGCAAAGAGATTGAGATAGATATAGAACCTACAGATAAAGTGGAGAGGATTAAAGAACGAGTTGAAGAAAAAGAAGGCATTCCACCGCAACAACAGCGGCTTATTTTTTCTGGCAAACAAATGTAGGTATATCTATAGACTCAAAATGCATTTCGAACCGTTATATTATTTAGGATACAGCATCTTATATGTTCTTTATTGTTAACTTAACTTTAACTATGACTTATCTTTTTTGTATGTTTCGTTATCAGGACTCAGTATACAATTATTCTGTAAGATGTTCTCAGGACCATAAATTGATGGTTTTTATAATATTTAATTCAATTCAAAAATAAAACGATCACACATTTTTTGAATCGAGTATATTTAGGAGACAAATTAGTTGTATAAAGTCAAGTATCATGCTGCTTAACTCTGTTGAAATAAACACAATAAACAGATTCAATTTTTTTTGCAAGGACAAGTGAAGGTTTCTCCATGTATATAAATGTAAATTTTAGTTAGCAAAATACTTGTATAGGAACATAATAGTTATTATTCTTTGACCAAACAAAGAGTAAGTAAGTAAGACCAGGAAAATAATAACCCTTACCTAAGAATATGCAAATATGCTAATTACAAACTGATGTAATAAAGTCCCTTAAAAAAACCTCTAAGCTAGGATGTTTATATTCTCGGTTACACCAGTAGAATATCTTAAGTTGATGTTTAAGTGATACTGGCTTGATAGATAACTTTTTTACAGGAATGATGAGAAAACGGCGCAAGATTACAAAGTACAAGGTGGATCAGTGCTGCATTTGGTGTTAGCTCTGCGCGGCGGGGAGTGAATTCTGTGATCATTGTCTCATATTTATAATTGTTTAATTTTATTTCTCATTCTATGTATAAAATAAACACAATTACATAAATAAATGTGAAAATCTTTGATTGCAAGTTTTTTTATGCAGGGAAAGTTTTTTTTGTAAGGATAATTGTAACAAGTGTCATGCTGTGTACTGAGAAAGCTAAATAAAGGAGAACAACTCAAGTTTATAATTTTTTGCCTTTCGTTGGTCATCTACCTATATGAATTTAGGGTTCCCAACCCGGGACCATTTTAGTGTCTATATGTAAAATGTGAAGTCATCACAATTGGTTGTTCTTTAGTTACTTTTCTACCCGACAGGGGCACTGTATAAACCTCATACAAACTGTCCTCGACACGAATAAATCCGAAAAGTTCTCGCGGACCATACTTTAACCTCTGCAGATTAATGGTGATCCATATACTCTCTATCCTTAAGTTTTCCATTGCTATTTTAATAAACATATTTACTTTCATAATTAGCATTCGTTTTATGCATCATGTACCGTTTTGTGAAATGTTAAATGAAACAAAGGTAATTTTTGAGCAGGTAATTTATTACATCGATAACATTGTACATTAAATTCAGGTATAAATACACATTTTGCACTGAATTCAGAAATTACATAAAAATAAACATCTTTGGTTTACCAAACAAATCAACAACATCGAGTCCCTAAATTACTTATATTAAATATCAATCATTTTATATTTAAATGTTGCCACAAGCCTTTTATAATTATCTAATAAATTGAGCATTTTTATACTCTTGGAATCGTAAAAAAAATCACTACACATAGCACATGCGTATAAAACAAGCTCACGTTTAAATTTAAATACAAATAATAAAAAAATAAACTACACAATTGCATTTTCTAATTATGACATTTTTACGCAAACTATGTTATACATATAAACATGTACATTTTATTAAAATGATTTAAATGACTTTGGGACGGAAATATTTTCCTTTTAGACATTGAGATTTTATAAAATAAAAATTGGACTATTTATGGCCCAAGGGAAAAAATTAAATCAAACTTAAAAATACGATAAAAGTAAATATAGAGAATGGTAAAAATGCCTAGAGAAATGAGCATGTTTGGCACAAAATACTTTCACAAAGTTGGTTTAGGTAATACTAAAATATGCAAGTCCTAATTTACATACATTATGCTAAAGTACACATTCGATAAGAAATAAATGTAGACGAATATATTAAAATAATGTAGATATCACTTACTACATTAATAAAATATAACAATAACCTATTGTATAAAACATCCACGATGTCCATTTCCACTAAACTAAGTACATTTCAAAAATCTATGTGCACACACACATTTTCACAGACAATTCACAATTCCTTAATACATTAACGAATACAATTTTGTTTTATAGTAGACATTAAAATAAACATTGTTTTACAAAAAAAGCGAAATCGTTATAAAAACATCAAAGACACAAATATTAGGAGCACAGATGTCAGGAATGTCTGTTTACATCGACTAGGTTTGGTTATTGTGTAACATTTAAAGAAATACGAAAGCTTTACAATCTATTCTTAAAACTTTAAAACTATGAGGATGGCACATGCACATATTCACAACACATACACTACCTTCGGAATCAGAGTATTTGTGAGTTGACGTTGCCAACAATGTGTGTACAAGGCGAGAGACCGCGCTTGTGTGCGATGTTTCAACCATCGGAGAGCGCGGGTGTGACCCAGCCGTACTTGTCGTGTGTTTTGACGAGGGAGCGGAAGGCTTCCTCCGCGCGGCGGCGGGAGAACTCCCTCGAAGGGCGGGGCGGCGCGCGCGCCACACGACCCTGGCCCTTTACCACAGATGCGGCGAACTGCATAACTACCGCCTCCACTGTATACGCGGAGGCCCATCCACGAGGTGTTAGTAGTTCCATACATATCGCTCCTCCTGATACAAAAAGAAGTATTAAATTGAGCATCAGGAATCTCTAATTGTCCTCCGCGACTCGATCCACGTGAAAAAAATCAAAATTGAGTAGCCCATGTTCTTCCAATCTATCTTCTACATCTAAATTTCATCAAGATCCATTCAGCCGTTTAGGCTACAAACTCTAACAAACATCCATCAATCTCAAACTTTCGCATTTATGATATTAGTAAGAGATAACGAAAAAATAAAGAGTTTTCAGCGTACCTTCCATAACGAAGCCTTTCTCTATCCTCGGCTCGATAACTCTCATGAAGGGCGGCGCGAAGGGGAAGTTCTCCGGGAAGATGAGGTGCAACAAGATGTTGGGTATATGTAGTTCGCGCAGGTCTCCCGCCAGATCACTCTCCGGGTCGATCTGGTGCAGGCGGACGTGCCACTCGAATAGGTTGTCGTTCACCAATTCCACCTGAAAACATCAAAATCATAGTGACACTTGTATTCCAAACCTTTTCGAGGGCAGAATATAACAGAGGATATCTCGGTCCACGGTGCTTGCTTGTTTCATCAATTGTTATATTAATTCGCGTACCTCGATAGTTATCTACAACTCGACCTAAAATTGGGTTTTGTAAATAAAGATTATTTAATTTTAGACGCATGTTTATTTCGTTTATTAATACCGTAGTGGCATTAAAATGAGTTATTTAACTATCACATACAGCCACACCTATTCCATGACCATGGTCAATAGTTGCTTAAGTTATGTCATGAAACTATTAGTTAACTTATAAGTTTGACGAGTTTAAAGACGTAGGTATTTTTATAAACGGTGTAACTGCTTATTCATTGAATTAACATTGTTAAATATCATTCGTCAACATGTTGTTATTACAAAAAAATACATTAAAAAAGACCCGGAAACAAGGTCAACAGCGTGACACTCTGACTTACTCTTATTTGATGATAATTACTGAAAATATTATATCTAAACGTTTAGAAAGTAGGTCAGCTAGCCCGGTGAATGACCGTTTACAAGACAACTATCCACAGAAAAAACTAGAACTACGTCCCATTTCCTTCCTAAATATTAGTTCAGATTCACACACTTCTGTCCAGTTTACTTTATTCCAGTCCAGCGATAGATGCCAGTGTTGGATTACAATTGATAAAACGTAACCCGACACTCGGACAGTGCATTCTAGTGTATCTTTATATTTCTATCAGTTGTTAACTAGCGTTACATTTGATCGCTGAACTGGACTATATTAAAGTCGGCAGAAGAGAATCTATTGTAACAGATCTTACAAAAAGAGCTTTAGCTTGATTTCTTTATGAAGCCAATTGAAATTTGTTTTTAACACATATGGTGTTAATTGATTTAGTACCGTAAAGACGGGGTCGGGTCGGTTTTCCTGCAGGCGCTGTATCTCCTTGAGCTCCTTCATGAGCCTGCGCGTGCGCACGGCCGCCGCACGCTCCCGGACCTCGCCCGCACTCGCGCCGTTACCCTTCTTTTTGACGAGAGACGTGGCGCCGGGGCTTGAGGGAAGGCTCGCCGCTGCCTCTGCAGGGCTTACGCCATCTCTGTGAAATATCATTTATTTTTTTTATAAAGAAGATAAAAGTGACAACGACAATGCAGAGAAATAAAAAATGCTCCATTCACTAAGTTTTTGTGATCTGTAGCTTTGCGTGCGTATGTTGTCTTGTTTATGTAGTGTATATTTTAATTATAAGGTTACCTACTAGTGTGAATAGCATTTAATTTATTATGCACGTCGTATCGCCCACCATTCACGTGGGTCTGCGCATTTGAGCAATCACGTTTATGTTAAATTCATTGTTTTAATAATTCGATGTGTGCAGCGTCTGAGAAACATTATTTCTTATGTTTGTTTTGATAATTTTAAACACAGATTTCATGTCAAAAAACTAATAAAAGCAATAATTAATTAGAACATTTAATTAGTAATTTATTAGTGTTAGATTTCGGCGATTTCCATATTATGATAGATTAAATAAAAAAAATACAAAGAATCAAAATCTTTTACTTGATGATGTATTGAATAGTTTATGGTTGTACTGTAAATGTGTTTATGTAATTGGCCTTTACTTATAACAAATCCCCTTCACTTTACGAGCTAAAAACATCTTTTGAAACATATTCGGACGAAATTTATGTTTAATTTGTACGTCACGTTTGAACGACTTGTCATAAATATTCTGCGTCTTACGAAGTACGGAGACCTAAGTACCTTAAGAAGTATACAAGGAAAAGGACATACAACAAAACATGTAACGAGTTTATTGGAGAGCTCGTAAGACACATTATACTGCTAAATTTGTCTATAGTACTATATGAGTGTGGCCGTTGCTCAAGTGAAAACATTATTATTGATTTACTTGAATAGTTTATTATAATATCGTTACCAGAAAAACGGAATACAGCGATTAAATTCAATCATTTCACACACGCCACGTTTTAATATTTAAACGTTTGTTTCTTTGTTATTTGCGTAACCTTCGTACCAAGCCGCGCCGTGTCTACGCATTACAAAACGACTGGGATTCGTGTCTGCGAGCTTTTATGATAATAGCTACATGTATTTGCAGAAGACGATGATAATGTAGCAATTTATATGGAACATGTTCGATAAACACAATGGAATCTGAAATACGTTTAAAAATATATTGGATTTGGAATAACTAATAGTAGCAAATCGTCCCAGATTCCTCCTGGTACAGACAGAGAAGAGAAGAGAGAACGTAGCATAGTGTCACTCGTTAATAAAAGAATTTTCCAGCGTTCAAATATTCATTTACAATATATACTGTAATGATACTGGCAATGTATTTGATGGAATAAAAATTGCTCTTTTAAAACGAATGAATGAAGTAAAATATTTAAAAATAGAATCATACATCTTTGCTTGTTATGTGCAATTTGAAATACAAGTTGTTTTTCACTGTGTACATTTTCATCTATTCGTTACATATAATAATTTTTCGCATACTCCTATCTCGTAATTCCAAACCGTCATAAGTCACAACATCCTCAAGGGAAGTGGGTATCATCGTTCATACTTTAGCTGGCACGAGGTTGAATTTCATAGTATTTTGTATCTGTAACGGATCATTTGGTGTCAAGTAACAAAATAGATTTAATACGACGAAGTCGAAACGGATGCTAAAACTGGCATTAGCAAGTCCACTTAATTTGAAATGGGCATGACACATAAGGTTTTTTTACTTTAAATCTATGGAAATATTCAACGTTTTAGTTTTAGTTTTATGATTGACTAGCTTTTGCCCGCGACTCAGTCCGTGTGGATTTAACAAAAAACAAGAGTGAGTAGCTTATGTGTTCTTCTAGACTACGCTCTACATCTATACCAAATTTTATTGAGATCCGTTCAGCAGTTTAGGCTACAAACTCTAACAAACATCCATCCATCCATTCATCTAAACTTTCGCATTTATAATATTAGTATTTTATGATTGAAAATAAGTGTGAAAAATTCGTAATTGACATATGCTCATAATTGGGCTTGAAATGTCAATTAGTTTCTAGATCTTCTAAGGTCTTTTGATCAAGGGATTGTTTTTAATTTTAGTTTCTGAAACTTTTCAAGTACATTCATGGATATCGCTAATCAGTTAATACTAGCTTTTGCTCACGACCTCGCGTAGAAGTAAAAAAAAACAAAAGCAATTAGCCTATGTGTTCTTCCAGACTATACTCTACATCTATGCCAAATTTCACCCAGATCTGTTCAGCTGTTTATTCTACAAACATCCATCCATCCAGCCATCCATCTAAACTTTCGCATTTATAACATTACGGGGGTCGCGTTGTTCCGCCTTTTATTTTCATAACTCATAATCAAAAGAAACAAAAGAAATAAAGTCATTAGTCCTTAATGTTATAACGTCAGTATTGTATAGGTCTAGGTGGTGTGTCGCTCTAGCGCTCTGTTACAATGTATCAACATACGCAATTTTTCCAATGAAAATTGACGTAACTGATTACATATATAGCGAATGTAAACGTAACTTGCGTTCAATCAACCTGTTATAACATGCTATAAACTTATGGCTATAAAATGTACGATTTCCGTGAAGGAACTTTACAATTTGATCAAAACAAATACCAAAGATAAAAAAAATAAACCTTATATGTAGATTTCTTGTTTAATTTGAATAGATATTAAAAATTTGAATGCTAAATTCTCGAAACATTCATCCATCTGTACATAACTAAAGAAACTTTTGTCACATATTTGCTTTGAACTTCCATCATAATTTAATTTAATTTTAGTCAAATCTTACAATTTATTAACAGTTGTACAGACTGTGAAACTTTATGATTAAATTTTACGAGTCTCATCAAATACAAAGCTAAGTTCTACTATTGTTAAAAGCTTAGAACAAAGGGAGATTAGAAAACACTAGAGGCTATTGTTTACCGTTGTAAATATAAGAAAGGAGTGCAATATTGGGAATGGTATGGATGTACAAGGATGTGGCATAACCGCTAATTGTCGAGCGATGACGCGTCACTCACGAGACTTTTAGGTGAGTAACAGGACTATGACTAAGTGATGTGCCACACCGGTGGTATCGCACTACCGCCAAACAAATGCCGAATAAAAAAAACATTTAATTTCATATTGGAATTAAAACTTTAAGATCTCTACTAAAAAGTACGACATGGGCTTCGGGGCAACTAGTATGTTACATGTTTCAGAATATACGAGAACTCACATAGGGTACGGTTCGTAGGAATTTCACATTTCCGTGGCCCAACCAAATCGAATGAGAAGTTCGTACAAACTATTTCACCGTCAGTGAAGGGTTATAATCTCTTTGGAGCTTATAATTCCGAATAACCATTCGCTTATGAAGTCATTTGTGGCGGCGGTCCGTTGCCACTTATGTGGCACTGCAGTAAGGAATGTAATATCATTTGCATCAGATTATAGCGTGACCTTCGGTCTTAGTTGACGTGTCAGATGCTGGGAAAGTAACACATCGAGTGTCACGATAATATTTACTTGAATGTCGTAAGCATTAACACGCAAGAAAAAAATAATTATTGACGTAAAACCTTCAAAGTCGACGTTAATGATTCCCGTCTTTAATTATTCAAGATGACCTTAATTTCTTTTAAAAGAAGTTGCACTCCAATTAATGTTAAACATAGTAATTATTAAGTCATTAGTTAGTTATAGTTTAGCGCGTTAATAAACGTTAACGCGCTTACCTGAATGGCAGATTTACGTTTGGCAAGGTACACACGTCATTAGATCATACAATTTACAGCGGTAGCTCGCAACTTCTTCCGCGTCAAATAATAAAAACATATGGCCTATGTAACTCACTGATAACTTTTAAGAGGTGAAAGAGTTTTTGAAATCGGCCTAGCACTTTTTGAGTTATTTCAATGCATACAAAAATCAAAAATACGAATCTTTTCTTTATAACTGAATATTGTCAGGAACCTTGACGAAAACTCTTAAATTCATTCTAGTGGTCAAAGGCATTTCTGGGAATTATAAAATAATAAATTCTAAAATACACTTTACGCTTTCTAATCCTAGATATCTATTTAATAATAAGACGCATCGGAAAACAAAAGATGTACGCAGCAGCATTGTACAAAGGATTCTCGTTTATGGTCTATTGGGAAATTTCGCTCCTGTATCATACAATGATATTGCGTACACAAATAAATATGAGTGTATTTTTTTCCTTTCTTAGAATAAATAATTCAACGCAATAGATGCTTTTATCGAACATTGATTTTTCTGCATTATTTGCCAACAATTTCCTATTGACAAACTTCCTCTGACCTCTGTAGATTTATCAATGATTTAGATTGAATTATGTAACAATAACAACGGGGGAACAATTATTCGTTTAGCGAGTACGTAAGGCGTTACAATACCGCTTCCTTCCACTAATCAATGAGGATATATCCAATTTATCTATCAGAGGGAACGTCTACGGTCTGAACGGTCGAATAAAAGAATTGAGAGCACTAAGCCGCGTCCCTATCTAACTGCACTCAATGCTTTTATAATAAACTAGCTGTTGTTCGCGAGTTCACCCGCGTAAAATTAAAAAAATATGAAATATTATAGCCTAACTTACTCCCTGATAACATAGGTTTTTAATGGTGGAAGAATTTTTGAAATCGGACCAGTAGTTTTTGGGTTAATTCAATATATACAAAAATCCATAAATACAAATCTTTTTTCTGTTGCGTATTGTGGCTCAATTTACACTAGCTCCAGCTTAAATTCCTTTTGCCCCAGTGATACAGTAATAGTTGTAGTTTGAATTTAAAACCCTCAACCCTTCCTCACAATCTATATCAAGTCCTAATATTAAATCATTAGGATTCAGGCGCTTATAAGCCTTTTCTTTTAGACTGATCATTAGTCATTAGCTTGCTATTTTAATCTAGGTGTAGTCGAATTTTACAACTTTCTTCGTTCTTTTGGGCATTTACAACTAAGAAATAGTTTTATTTTAATGTCAATAAAAACCTTAGTGTGCCTTCTAACTTTAGATGTGGTTTT